TGCTCCTGGCGGGGCATGAAATTAGATCCTATTAAGTTCAAGGAAATGATTGCGAGTCGGTCTAGAACGCAGTTGCCTCACCAGCCATTGTCTGCTGATTAATGGAGCCTTACTCACTTCAGTGGATATTCTAAAGCTCTTAAGCGTAACCCCTGATTCAAAGCTTAAATCTGAATTGCAGATTAGGAATATGGGCCAAGCAGTTTCATCTAGGATAGGCATCTTTGCAAGTGCAAGAAGATTTATGAAAATGACATTACTCGTAGATGCTTCTTTTCTTTTCTGTCTTATTTTGAGTATTGTTCTCCTGTGTGGTTATCTGCTGCAGAGTCACACTTACGACTAATTGATCGTTCTTTTAATTCCATTAAATTTCTCCTGTCTGACTTAAATATAGACACTGGGCATCGTAGGGATGTTTTTTTCGTATGCAAGACTGTAACCCTCTATAAGTTTTTACTTTTTTTTTATCTACCTTCAAGAATTATTCAATTATTCAATTCAATGACTGATGCAAGTCGGTCTACTTCTCATTTTTTTTTTAGATGGTTTCTTTCTGCTATTTGTAAGCTTTGGAACGGATTGCCTTCAGAGATAGAAACTTCTCCGACACCTGATAACTCTGATAAAGATCAGCTAATATGTCTTTTCTACGTAAATAGGTGATCATTTTCTATCTTCTCTTTATTTCTTAGCTGTGTTCTGGCCTTTTCGATTTTTTCAGTGGAGCTCTTTATATGACTTACCATAATAATGATTATATATATATATATATATATATATATATATATATATATATATATATATATATGTATATATATATATATATATATATATATATATATATATATATATATATATATATATATATCAGACGGATAAGTTACCGAGACGGATCCATTTCGGTTATATGTTCGTCTGATGAAGAAATGGCGAGTTCGAAACGTTATAATTCAGTTTCATCCCTTATTGCTGCTATTTCATTTTATGTTTAAATACGTTTATATATCAATCCGACCATTAAACAGCTTTCAACCTATCTATCTATATATCTTTATCTGTTTACGTGTTGTTTATTTTGTCTATCTATCTATGTAACATAAAAAGCTGCCGAAAGAAGTCGTCTGAGATCTATTACGTAAATAGGATGAAGGTTATGAACAGTGTTTGTGATATCAGCGGTTTCCTCATATGCATAAACTGCCGTTAAAAAAGATGCTATATATATATGTATATACAAATATAAATATCCATCTTTTCATCAATCTATCTATATACGTACAAAAAAAAAGAAAAGAAAAGAAAAAAATGAAACACTTATGAACAAACGAAAGTTTCTGACTGCCGCGTAAAGCCTATTTTGATAGTCGGAGGGGGAAAAAAACCTGTCCGCGGGGACTGTCTCTGCCCGCGAGCTGCTGAGACCGCGAGGGTGTGGCTGAGGATGAGCAGGTATAAAAGAACCGACTCTTCTGCCAACCGCCACATCGTCCTCGACCTTCACCACAACATGAAGATAATCGTAAGTACACGTTTTTAGATGGAAGCCGAAGAGGCTGTAGTAGATCAACCGTTGTTTGAGCCAACTACAGAAGCATTGTGTATACGTGAACTGCTGTGTGGATATAGCAATCACCATACAATTTTTATCAACGTTTACATTGAACCTTGTTTTATTAGATTTCTTAAGTTGCCTGGGTGATTATAGTCTGGATGTTGGATTGCTGAATAGAAAGAAAATATATCAAAAGACAGTGTCCTTGATTATGGCGATGATGGGGTGAGAATGTACACATGAATATAGTGTCAGTCACAAACATCAACTGATGAAGTTCACATTTTTGGTTACAGAAATAATTCCGTTACACTTAATTATCTATTCGTGCTATCGATTTCAGAAAACTCAAATCTATGCTATGTAACTAACATTTTTGCAATGCAGGTGTTGACAGCTCTGGTGGCCTCGTGCTGCGCGGCCCCGCAGATGTACCCGGCGATGTCAAGTGCACTGGTTTATGCTCAGTCCAACTCTCCTGCCGTGATGAAGATCCCCGAGCCAGGCATCAATCTGGGCACTCCCCTGGTTGCCCGCGCCCCCGTCGTCGCTGCCCCAGTCTCGGTCGTCCGAAACGCCGTCCCTGTGGCTCCAACTGCCCCGCTGCTCAAGAGCACGACAGTCGTGGCCTCAGCTGTCCCCGTCCCCGTGGCTCCGGCTGCCCCTGTCCCCGTGGCTCCGATTGCCCCTGTGTTCAAGAGCGCTGTCCCTGTCACCGTAGTGGCGCCGCCTGAGCCCCTCATGGCCCCTGAACCCCCCATGCCGTCCCTCAGCGTCCCTCACGTGGGAGGCCAATTCCACGCCCAAGACGAGGCTGGCCAGTACACCTTCGGCCACTACGGCGGCCCCAACACCCGTGTGGAGAGCAGGGACTATCTGGGTCGTACCTCCGGCAGCTTCGCCTACGTGGACCCCGAGGGAGACGTCCAGGTGAGGAAGTACGCCGCCGCCCCCGTCTCCGGCTTCAGAGTGGCTGCCTCTGACCTCGTCGAGGACACGCCCGCCGTGGCTCAGGTCAAGTCCGCCCTCGCCCGCGCCCACCAAGCCGCCAATTCCCTGGTCACAGCCGCATAAGTCACAACAGATTGCACTTTACAGGAACTGTAAATATATACAGTAAATAAAATTATGATTAACATATTTTTCACTTTAATTTCCTTCTGTTAGTAAACAACTAAACTCACTCACACACACATGCATGTGAGTATAATGTAAAAGTGGCTGCACTTGCTGGAAATAGAATAAGATATTTCATATAAATCTAAACATAATAAAAATTAATGAAAAGAAACAGGGAATGAGAAAGAGAGATAGAGACAGACAGAAACAGAGAGTGAGAGAGAGAAAAGAGAGAGAGAGTGACAGCGACAAAGGGCCAGAGTCTCTTCTATTTCTGTTCGCGATCCCAGTAGTAAAATTCCACTCACCTAAAGACAGACTTCAACTCACATAACGTATTCTTCGGCCTATATATATTTTCTTCATTTCAAGAAAGCGTAAGCACAACAAGTATTCGCCATCGTCTGTATTCAATGTTCCCAAATATCCCAACTAGTGCTGAATAAAGATAGATTAGTGCCGGCAACTTTTCAGTTTTTAGTATGTAAGCTTGAAATAAAGACTACAGAGAGAATCCACATCACAAAAGCAGCCTCCGTCACACGTTAAGTTTAATATAAAAATTATGCGAAACAAACGAAACGAGACACAGAGTATGAATTAAACTGGAAATCAACAACATTTTGTAAAAATGGAAAAAAATAACCTAGGATAGACGTGCAGTATCTTGTTATCATCACTACTATTATTATTATTCCCATAATCATTATGAAAAACGAAATAACAAATGACTGTATACAGTATCCAACAAGAATATATAATAGGGACATGTACCATGGGCGATTAGAGGGATTAAGAAACTCTCATTTCAGTTTTTAAAAGGCATCACGAGGAAACCTCAGTGACCGTTTCTCTCCAATCCTCCCCCGCCATTCTTGATTCTTCCTTCATCAGTTGTTGTCATAAAGCTTAGTTGGAGGAAGTGGATAGCAGCCACCCCACTGCCGTCCACCTCCGCCAAGGCCTAACCACGAGCGCCCTGTTGCTTTGCCGTCGTCGGGGAGCAGGTGAGCAGACAGATGACGCCATATACTTTCCTGCGTAGTACAGACTATCGTGCAGATTGCGTCTGAATACTCCAACCAACGTTAGACCTCGGCTTCACCAACGAAAGAGTGCACAAACAAGGATTTTTTTTTTCATGCTTGTGCGTATGTACAATACACACATAGACACACACACACACATACATATATGTATGGGTGTGTGTGTGTGGGAAAAACTGGGAAGGCCAAAAACAAGATATGAGTAAAACATCAGAAACGTCACAGGATTAAGCTTTGTCTGAGTAACAAGAAAAAAAGGAGAGGGAGAGCTGGCATTACACCTCTTCGGTCCTCTACCCCGGTTAGACAAATGGGTTGGTCTTAGCCCAGCGGAGATCAAGGTCATACCACCTCAAAAATGTGACCTTGATCTATAATGAAAAGGTCTATGCCAAGGCCAGACAGGTGGTAACGGAGGCTCAACGGAGTTCGTGGAGACAGTATGTTATTATGATTAACCTCAGAACCCTTTTAGTGTGGGTCTTGGAGAAGGCGTATCTCATTGCTGGAAATGTTGCAGATGAATTAGCTAAATCCATGGCAGAAATCTCTGGAGGACCACGCTGCTTGCTTTTCCAACTTCCAGGCAGAGAAACAGAGCTTTAATAGAACTCAATTACAGCCTGCCACTCTTGCCCTCATAAACAGATTTTGTCATGTAGTCCTGCTATAGAATTGTTTCCGGAAGTGAATTAAAGAAGCTGTCATTTCCATTCAAAATCCTAGTCGGGAACGTCGAGAGAACTTCCAATCTGCACCTGCAAGGTGATTAAGAATTGCAGGTTGTTTTTAATGGGTTAAGAAAGGTGAGATCGACAACTAGCGTCCTGGTGTGGATGAAAACAGTTATCTCTGTAACATGTAAAGCAAGTAATGTGTTCCTTCCTCTATCAACAGAATGCGAGAGATTAGGTATGACCTTGGCAGTTATAAGGCCAACGTCCATCCCAACCGAAAAACGACTGTGAATGGGATATGCAAGAGTGACTCTTGGACAGCTGATGGCTAGAGAGGTGCCAGGAGCCATTAACAGTCGCTCATGCAGTCGGAAAGTGTTCTGAATTCTCACGCCAAAGACTCTCAAAATAAGAAATGTAAAATTCTTATAATGAACATTTTCGAGGTTTCTCTTCAACGACATTAAATACTCGCAGACAGATATTTTTTTGTTTGTTTATACCTGTATAGTGATTATTGACTACTAGCTTTTTTCTAAAAGTATTCTAATGCATATCTACTGATGAGAGAGGCAGTACTAGACAAGAAGTCACTCAACAAGCATCGCCCCGCCAACAGTTGGGAGGCGCGGAACTTCCAAAAGCGAGAGGCAGAAACAAACGTCTTCTCTAAAAGCACCAGGAGACGGGGCGCTAGGGAACGATAGCTCCTCCTCTGCCATAAGGACAGAGACTCGCGGAAACGTTGCAGCAGCAGTACGATTTGCGAAGTTCTAGTTCCGGCCCGGCCGGAAACGTTGCATGTCCATCAGTTTCATAATGAAATGACCTTAGCCAATATGTTGCTCTTTTGACATGGCACAATGAAAACATTAGCGCGCTGGGGACACGGAGCTAAAGTAACAAAAATCGGCATTGTCTGAAAAAAAAAAAAAAAAAAAAAAAAATATATATATATATATATATGTGTGTGTGTGTGTGTGTGTGTGTGTGTGTGTGTGTGTGTGTGTGTGTGTGTGTGTGTGTGTGTGTATGGGAAAAACTGGGAAGGCCAAAAACAAGATATGAGTAAAACATCAGAAACGTCACAGGATTAAGCTTTGTCTGAGTAACAAGAAAAAAAGGAGAGGGAGAGCTGGCATTACACCTCTTCGGTCCTCTACCCCGGTTAGACAAATGGGTTGGTCTTAGCCCAGCGGAGATCAAGGTCATACCACCTCAAAAATGTGACCTTGATCTATAATGAAAGGTCTATGCCAAGGCCAGACAGGTGGTAACGGAGGCTCAACGGAGTTCGTGGAGACAGTATGTTATTATGATTAACCTCAGAACCCTTTTAGTGTGGGTCTTGGAGAAGGCGTATCTCATTGCTGGAAATGTTACAGATGAATTAACTAAATCCATGGCAGAAATCTCTGGAGGACCACGCTGCTTGCTTTTCCAACTTCCAGGTAGAGAAACAGAGCTTTAATAGAACTCAATTACAGCCTGCCACTCTTGCCCTCATAAACAGATTTTGTCATGTAGTCCTGCTATAGAATTGTTTCCGGAAGTGAATTAGTAAGGACACAGTACCGCTATGGCGTAAAGAGGCTGTCAATTCCATTCCAAATCCTAGTCGGGAACGTCGAGAGAACTTCCAATCTGCACCTGCAAGGTGATTAAGAATTGCAGGTTGTTTTTAATGGGATAAGAAAGGTGAGATCGACAACTAGCGTCCTGGTGTGGATGGAAACAACTATCTCTGTAACATGTAAAGCAAGTAATGTGTTCCTCTATCAACAGAATGCGAGAGATTAGGTATGACCTTGGCAGTTATAAGGCCAACGTCCATCCCAACCGAAAAACGAGAGTCGTAATGACTTGACTGTGAATGGGATATGCAAGAGTGACTCTTGGACAGCTGATGGCTAGAGAGGTGCCAGGAGCCATTAACAGTCGCTCATGCAGTCGGAAAGTGTTCAGAATTCTCACGCCAAAGACTCTCAAAATAAGAAATGTAAAATTCTTATAATGAACTTTTTCGAGGTTTCTCTTCAACGACATTAAATACTCGCAGACAGATATTTTTTTGTTTGTTTATACCTGTATAGTGATTATTGACTACTAGTTTTTTTCTAAAAGTATTCTAATGCATATCTACTGATGAGAGAGGCAGTACTAGACAAGAAGTCACTCAACAAGCATCGCTCCGCCAGCAGTTGGGAGGCGCGGAACTTCCAAAAGCGAGAGGCAGAAACAAACGTCTTCTCTAAAAGCACCAGGAGACGGGGCGCTAGGGAACGACAGCTCCTCCACTGTCATAAGGACAGAGACTCGCGGAAACGTTGCAGCAGCAGTACGATATGCGAAGTTCTAGCTTCGCCCGGGCCTTCGGCTATGGCCCGGCCGGAAACGTTGCATGTCCATCAGTTTCATAATGAAATGACCTTAGCCAATATGTTGCTCTTTTGACATCGCACAATGAAAACATTAGCGCGATGGGGACACGGAGCTAAAGTAACAAAAAACGGCATTGTCTGAAAAAAAAAAAAAAAAAAAAAAAAAATATATATATATATATATACTCACATACGTGTGCATAAACATATACACATTTATGCGCATGTTTATCTATCTATCTATATATATGTGTGTATGTGTATATATGTGTGTGTTTACATACATATATATGTATATATATATGTACTTAAATATATACACACAGATGTGTGTGTGATGTATGCGTGATGTATATATGCATCCATGTATGTATCTATATCTTTAAATGTATATATTACATATACACGGAAATCAGAGGATAAGGGAAAAGTAGAACCGTTGCCAACAGCCGAAAGTCTTTGAGCCCTACCAAGTAAAACCTGCAGTGCTTTGATAGCAAGATAAAAAACTTGTCCGCGGGACTGTCTCGGCCCGCAAGGTACTACTGGCGCGAGGGTGTGGCTGAGGATGAGCGGGTATAAAAGAACCGACTCTTCTACCAACCACCACATCGTCCTCGACCTTTACGACAACATGAAGATCATCGTAAGTACATGTGTTTTGCAGGAGGGCGAAGAGGCTGCAGTAGATCAGCCGTTGTTTGAGCCAGCTACAGAAGCATTGCGTTTACGTGAACTGCAGTGTGTTTATAGCTGCATTAGTTATGTAACGTCAGTAGAGTAACTCATAGCAAAATACTTTTTGAAAATTCTATTAGGTTTTCTTGGTTTGCCTGGGTAAATACAAGGTCTATATAAGCAAGGTCTCGTCAATTCGGAATTCTGCCTTGGGTAAATATACTCGAGTGCCGATCAGAAAAAGTACTTCTCAAATGGAAGATTATGAAGAGTGAGAAAGTACATAAATGGTGTCAGTCATCTATATCTGTTAAAGATTTTCGGTAACAAGAAATTATTCTGTTACATTAATAAGTGTGCTATTAATTAAAAAATAAAACTCAAGACCAAGTCACAGATCATCATCCTAAGGAAAATAACACTTTTGCAATGCAGGTGTTGACAGCTCTGGTGGCCTCGTGCTGCGCGGCCCCGCAGATGTATCCGGCGATGTCAAGTGCACTGGTTTATGCTCAGTCCAACTCTCCTGCCGTGATGAAGATCCCCGAGCCAGGCATCAATCTGGGCACTCCCCTGGTTGCCCGCGCCCCCGTCGTCGCTGCCCCAGTCTCGGTCGTCCGAAACGCCGTCCCTGTGGCTCCAACTGCCCCGCTGCTCAAGAGCACGACAGTCGTGGCCTCTGCTGTCCCCGTCCCCGTGGCTCCGGTTGCCCCTGTCCCCGTGGCTCCGATTGCCCCTGTGTTCAAGAGCGCTGTCCCTGTCACCGTAGTGGCGCCGCCTGAGCCCCTCATGGCCCCTGAACCCCCCATGCCGTCCCTCAGCGTCCCTCACGTGGGAGGCCAATTCCACGCCCAAGACGAGGCTGGCCAGTACACCTTCGGCCACTACGGCGGCCCCAACACCCGTGTGGAGAGCAGGGACTATCTGGGTCGTACCTCCGGCAGCTTCGCCTACGTGGACCCCGAGGGAGACGTCCAGGTGAGGAAGTACGCCGCCGCCCCCGTCTCCGGCTTCAGAGTGGCTGCCTCTGACCTCGTCATGGACACGCCCGCCGTGGCACAGGTCAAGTCCGCCCACGCCCGCGCCCACCAAGCCGCCAATTCCCTGGTCACAGCCGCATAAGTCACAACATCGCTACATAGATTGCACTCTACAGAAACTGTAAATATATACAGTAAATTGAATTAACATAGACATCTTGCTACTTTAATTTCCTTCTAGTATTATCACATCACGCATAACTAAGTAAGCGGATTGTGGATGTAAAGATGAAACAAATATGTGGTGATAACGCTTCTGACCTGGAGCTTATCTCTCATTCTAAAACCTCTCCCCCTCTCACTCTAGGGCCCTCCTTTCTCTTTGTCTCTCCCTCCATCCCTCTCTATCCTCTCTCGCTCTCTCTCTCTCTTTCTCTCTCTGTGGCTCTCCTTTAATTTTCTCACTGTCCCTCCTCTCTCTATATACATGTCTCTCCTCTCTCTCTCTCTATGTCCTTCCTCTCTCTCTCTCTCACTCTCCCTCCATCCCTCTCTCTCCTCTCTCTCTCTATGTCCCTCCTTTCTGTTTCTCTCACTCTCCCTCCATCACTCTGTCTTATTCTCTCTCCGCTATCATTCTCTCTCCTCTCTCTCATTCTCTCTCCTCTCTCTCATTCTCTCTCCTCTCTCTTTCTCTCACTCTCTCCTCATCCCTCTGCCTCACTCTCCTCTCTCTCTCTCTTCTTCTCTATATCTGTATATATAATAACACGTTGCAATGTATATCATAAAAAACCCTGATGAAGTTCAGCATGAGTGTTAGTATATATCACTGATGTAAAGTAAGGACTTTACAAAGCAGATAACACAAACTAACTTACAATACAGTTTTTTTTTCATATAATTGAATCATCACTTATGTTTTTGTTACTCGGTTTATATGAATTTCATTTTTTTAATCTAAAAATGAAATCTAACGTTTAATATGCATCGTCGTCAGCTGTCTTTGACGTCACTATTAAAACTACGGCAGTTATGCTTCTTATTTTTATATGTAAAATATGTTGATCAGAAAGGGTAAACGAAAATCTTTTGTCATTCCATTACGCGAATATGTTACATATGACACAATACTGATATAGCTTTTTACTTTGATATTTCCAAACGTTATTTTTAGGTTGTCTGATTCTAAAGGACCAAAAAGAAACAAATGAGGGAATGACGTAGGCCTACCTTGAGTATCCTTGCGTTTATAGTTTTTTTGTTAGTATGGGATTGCATACCATAAGCGTGCACTATCACGAGTCTTCGATCATATCCTATGGTTTTAGATTTTCATCTATCTTCGCGCGTCTAGATCTTCCTTGGTCGCTTAATTCGTTTAAAACTCGACAATAAAACTTGAAAAGAGTCTATATAACAGAACTAAGCAAATCTAAGCATCGTATAATACACAGATGATTTGTTTCTAAGTTGCAGTAACAATGCTTGATAGTTAAAACAGAGATGAGTAAACCATTTGCTA